ATATATTGATGTTTAAAAAATTTAATTGACTACAAGACTACAAAGATTTATAATCAATTAAAAGTATTAATAAAGAAAATAGAATAAAAAATATTAAAGTAGATTCAAATGATGTTTTAATATAAATAATAATTTTTAAATCTTGCCCCAACCCTTAATATTTTATAGTTACGTGATTAGGGTTGCCAAAACGACTTTTTGTTTGTGAACAGCTCGTGTTCGGCTCGCTAAGCAAACGAGCCGAGCACGAACATTCTTTTTGAGCTCGAAATATAAACGAGCCGAACAAGAGCTAAGTCTGGCCTTTCTTGTATTCTTCTCATTTACACTGCTATCTGGAAAGCAGCAAGAAAGAGAGCTATTCAGTCAAAACCACATACCTTTTGCAATACAAAAGTTAAATAGAGGTACGCGGCATCCCATTCATCCTGTGACAATGTACCTGCAAATTAGCAAGTTTATGTAGGAACGGTTCCATCGGATATACAAATTATGAGAGAAGGGGAAGGATGGCTCACTTCGATCCTGGTTACCATCACCCAAGGCGCCAAGCCGCCTCATTAGCTCGGTAAACTCGGGCATTTTCAGAAACTCGTCGACAAAAGAATGTGAATTCTTTACAGACACGAGCTTGAGATCATACTACAAAACAGCACAACAGAAATAGATAATCATTAACATTTGTATTTCTGGAATGAAAATGTTATTTGGTTAACCTCATCATCATTAACATCATTAGCCTTATCTAAATTATTTAGAATTAGATATATGAAAACAGATTCTCTGTTAAATACAATTTGAGTGATACATGAATGCATGAGATGTTCAATCAAATTTGTGAAAATTTTGAGCACCTTCTATCGAAGTTAATTTTTTTGACTCATTTTACCCATGTTTTTTATATTAATTTTAGCTACCCGTCTTTTTAAACATTTATTCATTTTACATATAGAAATCAAGTGTTCAACCATCGTATCTTCAACATCAGTTAATTCTATGAATCCTAATATGCTCAGCACATCCATTAATAACTTCTTCATTATCCAACACTAAGAACCATACAATTTAGCTAATACATGCAGGTTAATGGTGAATAGCACACCGCAGCACAAAATTTTTTGCAAAGCAGTAGCGCATAGTGTATGGGACAACGCGAGCTCTTTTAAACATAGCGCAAAATATTGAAAAAATTGAGATTAAAATGTAAATAAATATAAAATGCTATTAAATTAAAAGATAATCAATTATGATGATAAAAACAATAAAAAGTAATACATAAATTTAAGTATTCATTACCTCGTACACATAATTTTTTTTTTCTTTTTGTAAATCTAATACTCTATGACACTTTAAACTAGTCATCTGAAAAAACATCATTATCTTTGTAAGAAAATCTCATTAACTTCATCCACATGATCTCCTGAATCATAATATTCTTCAACAGCATCACTATTTTTATATTCAGTGGTCTTACCGCCATCTTATAAAATTTTCCTTCAAGTCCAAGTGGTACTTTCTATCACACAATAGGCCCGATGCATTCCTCCACTTCAACCAACCAACTTGAATTCTACTAATCACATCCCCATCTATATCACCAATCACTTATCACTTTGAACAATATACCCGAGATATCTAAAACGTTCACACCTTTTAATGATTTGATCACTCATAGTTTCAACTCTACCACAAAAGCTACTACAACTAAATTGCATTCCATGTATTCAAATTTAGATCTACCCAAACGAAGGCCTTTATACTCCAACGTAGATCTCCATAATTCAAGTTTTTCCTGAACTATTTCTCTATACTTATCCACAAAAAGGATATCATCGGTGAAGAGCATACACCAAGGTACATCCTCTTGTAAATCTTTAGTAAGAGCATCCATAACTGAAGCAAAAGGATAGAAGCTTAAAGTCTATCCCTGATGTAATCCAATTGACATAGGAAAATACTTGGTCAATCCTCCTATTCGAAGACAAGTATCAGCTATAGTATACAAATATTTAATGACTTGAATCTAAATCAACAAAAATCATATGTATATCCTACTTATTCTCTCTGTGTTTCTCCATCAAACCGCTCAATAAATGTGTAAATCCCCATTTCAAATACTAAGGGTTAGAAGAAATTGAGAGTCGGGAAAGGAAATGAAGAAGAGAAAAGATGAAGCGAGGAGTCGGTTAGCTGAAAAAATGAGAGATAAAGTGGAAGGATCGAGATGCCAAGGAGGTAAGTTCGTCTATAAATTGACGTGAGACGGAGGGAGATCGGGAGGTAGAAGCAATCCTAGAGACTTACCTGGGAGTCGAATGGCGTGTAAGGAGAGGAGTACAATGCAGGAGAATACCGGGGACGAGGAGGCCAGATGAAGTATCGGCGTTTGGGTTGAACAATGGAGAGGATGGTGTCGACTCCTCAAACAGTACGGAGCTGAGAGTAGAGGAAAGAGTTGTACATTTGCAGGTAAGGGTTTCGACCAACCAGCAAAAAATAAGAGAGGAAGAAGCGTCGTAGAAGAGAAAGAAGAGTTGAGCTCGTGCAGAAAGGGGCAATAACCAACTCTAGTACGATCAGATTGTCATTGAGGGGAGGAAGACGAAATCTTCGTGTGGTTAGGGTTCGACCCGAGGACAGTTAATATTTGTGTCATTGATTTAATAATAATAATAACGCGCGCGCGCACACACACACACATATATAAAATAAAAATTTAAGTGGGATTGCATAAAGTACAATAATGAAAACATTATAAATTATTAACTTTGAAACTTGGTAAATAAATTAATTTTAGTAATATGAATATCATGTTTATGTTAGCTTTCAATTTTAGAAGAGTCGGCGTCAACACAAATTAAACTACATAGAAGTGAGTACTCATGTTCTTGTACTATGGTGATATTTTGTTTCTTCTAGATCAAATGAATTTATTGGTGCTATCATTAATTATACTGAAATTACTGTAAACTCATGATTTTGAATTCTAGTGAAATTTTTTTCATATTGTATGAATGATGTGTGCACAACATTATTTAAATGATTTATAAGTAAATTGTTTGATACACAAGTTGAAATGAAATATATTTTTAATAAATAATGATTTTGATAGAATGCTTGTATGTGCGTGACTGACCGTGATGGAGTCACCCTTTGATGATACTAGTGGGGAAATACTTAAATACTCATGCACCTGTATGGAAATGGACATTAATATTGAAGTACATTAATTGATACGAACTTTTAGACGGTGCTTCAATAACTATTGTATAAATTTGAAATGATATTGATATGCTATTAATATAGTAAGACTCTTTGAATGACATCAAATATTTATATTGATTTATTAAAAAACTTAACTAGCATGCATATTTTCTTTTCTTTTTTCATTATATCATTGTAATTGAAGGGGATGAGTATTCACTTGTTTTTTTAGCTCATTGTTATTTTTAAACTAAATTTTCAAGTAAATTTTAAGTAATTAAAAGATGAGCGATAGAAACAAAAAATGATTATAGAAGGCGCGAACAACCAGTAATGATGTAATTTTAAATATATTGTCTTAATTTATTTTAATTATAGTTTCAGCCGTCCAACCGTCTGTCACCTTCTTGGTTAATTTCAAGCCACGGGCTAGATCGTAACAAAATGTATAGCTTCCATGGTAGACTTGTCTGGCATAAATCCAAATTGAAAATCTTTTCATCACGTCCTAACGTATGTTCAATTACCCTCACATGAATTTAACACATTAACTTATTCCTCGAAATTTTTTTATAATTTGAACTCATATGCATCCCCTTTATTCTTAAAAATTGTGACCAAAATATTCTTTCTCCACTCTTCAATCATTTTGTTAGTTTTTAAAATACTGTTAAAGAATTTATAAGTAAAAAGCTCTCAAATCTCTTAAATATTTTCACACAAAGTCTAATAATTTTCCTCTATCAGTTTTTTTAAAACCTCCTCAACTTCCTTTCTACAAATGCAAGGGTAAAAATAAAAAAGGTTTTATTATTATTAATGATATTAAGATCACTAAGGTCGATAATATTTCAAAAAATTCATTGAAAGATTTATCAAAATAGCTCACCCACCTATGTTGAATATTTTTCCCTAAAAAAAGTACTTTTTGATTTTCAGCTTTAAAACACTTTACTTGAATTAAATATTTACTTCTCTTTTCTCTTTGTTTGGCTAGTTTATACATATATTTTTTTACCCTCTTTAGTATCTAATATACTATAAAGATTACTAAAAGTAGAATTCTTAGCATCACAAATTATTCTACAAATGCAAGGGTAAAAATAAAAAAGGTTTTATTATTATTAATGATATTAAGATCACTAAGGTCGATAATATTTCAAAAAATTCATTGAAAGATTTATCAAAATAGCTCACCCACCTATGTTGAATATTTTTCCCTAAAAAAAGTACTTTTTGATTTTCAGCTTTAAAACACTTTACTTGAATTAAATATTTACTTCTCTTTTCTCTTTGTTTGGCTAGTTTATACATATATTTTTTTACCCTCTTTAGTATCTAATATACTATAAAGATTACTAAAAGTAGAATTCTTAGCATCACAAATTATTCTCTTAGAATCCCTACAAACCACCTTATATTTCTCTCCATTCTCTATGTTTCTATATTTAACCCAATTTTTATAACACTTCTTATTTTTTAACTTTTCTTACACATTATTAATCCACCACCAACTATTTTTATTTATTAAGACTTTTACTTTTGATTCTCCAAGTACATCTTTTGTCAGTTGTTTAATAGTGCTAGTTTATCCCACAGAATCAGCTTCATCATGACCATCCTAAATTTTGAAATCTTGAAGTTTACTCGTAAAAATAATTTTATGTCTTTTAGGTGCCCTCATTTGATTCGATGACAATATTTCAGTGTATTCTTTATTTTGTAACTCATCTTCTTAAAATAAAGAACTAATAATCGATGTTAAGTACTTAAATTTTCACATTGAATGACCTAACAAACTTTACATTCTCGACGATCTTTTTTCTCATAAGAAAATAATCAATTTGTGTTTTATTAGATCTATTCTTATGAGTAATAATATGCCCATCAATATGCCCATCTCTTTTTCTCATTTTCTAACAATAATGTCCAAAATTTACTCGTTTTTAATTCTGCTAGTAATACTTACAACAATTATTTCTTTGACACTATTCATCGCTTTATATGTAAAAACTATCGGAAGATTCTTTTTTCTCTATTAATTAATCTGAAAACCACCAAGCTTAAGCATATATATTGTATCATTCCAAGCAAATTACATCAAAATAGTTTGTTAAGCTTTTTTTAACTCAGACTCCATCGCATAAGAATCTAACATAAATTCCCCAAATAAAAACATTTTCTTTAAATGCAATTGTTGCCGAAGAGCATGATGCATTGTCAAGAAGCCTGAATCAAATTGAATCTTGACATTCTTGACAAGTGGTCTTTTTACGCATCTCATTAAATCAAATGGTTGGAGAATCAAAGAAAGAAAACTACAAACTACCATCATCATCTCAAAGTATCACCTAACTCTTGGAATTTTAAGAAAATCTTTGATTAAATCAAAAGAAGAAGCATTGCAGGAAATCCAATATAAGTGAATACCAATCCAT